ATTATTATTATTTATTTTAATTTTAATTTTTTAATTTTTTTTTTTTTATTTTTAGAAAAAGAAAAAGGAAAAGAAAGAAAGAAATAAGAAATAACATCCTCCTGTCAGCGGTTTCCTAGTAACCGGCGATGGGTTGTGTTGACGCAGCCGAGAGTCATTAGACGGCGTGATAACCGGGAAACCTACCTCCCATTGTCTTTAAAGGCTTGCCATTCTCGGAATCACGGGCAGCCCGTGTACCAAGCATTCCAACGGGGAATATTTTAGATTTCTGTGATTGGGGAAGACGTAGAGTGGTAGCCTGGTCCGGAGGCGCTCGGCCCTAAAGTTAGGGAGTTCGAACTCCGAGGTACATGCTTAGTATTGTGATCGCTCGGCGTTTACCCTATAAGGTACGGCGCGCAACCCTAGCCGCTACACTAAATGGGGCGGCACCTCGGGCGGGTGTTGTGCGTTAGGGCCAGGGCGCCTATGCCCATATTCTCATTGGCTTTACATTTTCTCCGTCTGAATCACATATACGGAGTACTGCGTTCGGAGATGCTTCTTTATTTTTAGAGATATACACATGGACAGGTAGTTGGGGGTGAAGTACACAGTACCTAGATTACTGTAGACTATCTGCGCCTTGCTCAGGAATGACGAGCTTGTTGATATTCGTCCGGTTAGGTTGAGCCTTGTGTGCTCACGCTAAAGGCGGATGAGACAATGGATGGATGCGCATCCCTGGTCAGCGCCCCTCATGGGCCTGATGTTTCCTTTGTTGTGGATTATCAGTTTCGAAATTAACCACCTCAGGGTGTAAGAGACTCGTTGGGCCCTTGTGTTGTTTATCCTGCTCTTATAGTTGCGTCGGACGCTTGACACGTCCCAGGTCACTATCCTAACTATGTGGAATATTGGAAAGCGCAGCATCAGGATGAAAATCATGGCGAGATGTCTGGTGGCTGCCATCATTTTAAGCACATCCATCTTCTGGAAAGGAAGTCTGCACTCTGGCCCCCTCTCGAGCACTCCACTTCGCGATACTCGGGCTCAGCTTTCGCATCATCTTTATCCTTTGCTCGAGGAACACAGGCCTCAATGTTCTCCACCCGCATTACACGGCAACGCAGGGTTGCATAGATTCAGTCCGATCATCAGTGCACCACAAAAGAACTATCTCGTTGATCCTGAAGGGTTTGTAGAGCCAATGCAGGTAGCCCACGACGGCTTTGTGCAAGCCATTCGAAACACTCGGATCGAACGGGCCTATATAAGGGGAACCAAAGGCATTGTTTCGTCCGCCGGGGGAAAGTATCTTCCTACGTTCATAATATTTCTGCGCTTGCTGCGACGAACCGGCGCGAGGCTGCCGGTAGAGCTTTTTGTCAAAGATTGGATCGAGTATGAACCGTACATATGTGAGGTAGTTCTACCCTCGCTGAATGCGAAATGTATCGTCCTTTCCGAAGTTTTCACAGGCCCCAATGAGGGAAAACACGACCTCGAACATTTTCAACTGAAGGCATTCTCGATTTTGTTCTCGTCATTTCAGGATGTTATCTGGATGGATGCAGACTGCTTTTTTCTATATGACCCTACCGACCTATTGACCTCCAAGCCATTTACTTCCACGGGCCTTGTTACCTGGCCTGACTTCTGGTCTTATACAGTATCTCCCACGTACTACAACATTTCTCGTCAAGCCATAATCGCTACGACAACCCGACAGTCCACTGAGGCCGGCATGTTTTTGATCTCAAAAAAGACGCATTATATGACTATTTTGCTCTCTGTCTACTATAACTATCATGCATCCTATTATTATAGAATGATCTCCCAAGGAGCCCCGGGTGAAGGTGATAAGGATACCTTCATTCTAGCTGCGAGTGCGCTTGGTGAGGACTTTTATACTGTCAGTGAAAAGGTAGTGGATTTGGGGCACCCTGCACCTGATGGGGGCGTGTTAGGCGCTGCCATGCTCCACGCGGATCCCATAGAGGACTACGAACTTACACGCCAGGGCCGGTGGCGAGTGAGAGATGAGTCTGTTGCTAAAGCGCCTCGTGGCTACTGGGTGCATGCACATAGCCCGAAGTTCAATGCTGGAGAGGACCTATTTAGCAGAAAAACACAGAACGAGGACGGTCAACCTGGCCGAGCTTATACTTCCAAAGAGGATACGCTCAAACGGCTTGGATTTGATGCGGAACGAGTTATTTGGGAAGAGACTAAGACCGTTACATGCACCCTGGAGCATGCGTTTGATTCCTGGAAGACAAAGGTTGGGTTATGCGAGTCGGTTACCAAGCATTGGGATGCTGTGTTTGAAAGTCCATCAACGCAGCTTTATACGTTTACGGATGCTTGATCGAATCCCAATAACAACTAGGCTAGCACCATCGTCCTATACAGCAGTCATATAGAGGGTGTGAGGAGGATGGAAAGACGGGTTCAGATATGTATCTAGGCACTTAGGGCATTCTCCCAATTGATATACATCTCTTCCCTGGATTTACTATTCATAAAATTATTCTGCCTGCTATTTCTTTGGGTGAAATAGTCGTATACCGAATTCTCGATTTAGTTAACGTAACAGCTAGTATGAAAAGGAATAATAGCCGGACTCGATAATAAATGCCTATTTGAGGAATCCAGTCTAGATCCATGCCTATGTTTACTATTATCGCTCTATACATTGAAGCCACCTTCCTTCTATTCGAGGTAACTTACTGATCCAGCCCCCTATTACATACTGCATAAATCAGGGTTACATTTCACTCTGTACCGAAGGGAAGCAGGTTGCCATGACTTTCTGCGGGTCTTGGACGAGGCTAAAATATCAGTCTGAAACCTGATTTGTAAACGTCTGTCACGACTAAACAATATCATGTGTGACTTTATTTGTCTAGGCTACAAATATCTAGAGTTGTGAATGGACGATAATTATTTTCTGAGTTTCATAATCGACTTGAAGCGCCGGCGTCCAGGAAGTATTCTATATCACTTAGTAGATCCGTCGTCGTGTCATAGACTCGGGTGAGCCGTCGTGCAAGTAACTTAGTACCGCCAGGTCTGTCCTTCATCACTAAAGGAAATAGCCAAACATTTGCGCGCATGCTGTACAGCGCTGGGGAGACTGAGACGACCCGGTGGCCGAACCTTGAAAAAGTTTCCTCTTCCTGTGCCTCCCTGGCGACTGTACAGTTTTCCTGGAATGGTCTTGTGTTCGATTTATTCGGCATCAATCGTCTTCTGCGATGTCTGTGTAGGTGATATTCATGCTATCGACTGTGGGAACGCTATTATGTGTTATCTAGATTATGCACAGTACACATTTTGAATGCCCTACTAGGTATACCTTTCCTAAAAACAAATATTTTGGTGATACATTTGGGAATGCCGACTGACGGAACACCCATGACCAGAATTTGACAGATGCTAAAGACAGGGGCCCGACATTGGTATGTGAATCCTGTAGAGCAAAGCAGCCTGAAAATATATTGCCCACCTTAGACAGACGAAGTATATATCGCACTAGGGGTCACAATCGCAAAAGCAGGGTCAGGTGCAGTGAGCAACGACGCCAACGTCTCCCAACATTTCACGTCTCCGGTCGTAGTGAGGCCATCTAGGCTCTTTCGGTCTCTAACAGCTAAAGCAACCAGATCCTTATGCGTCAACCAAATCACCAAAGACGCATCTGCCGCATTTGTCGGCTCCTGGTACACAATTTCATGGCCAGTCAGGGCACCATTACTCAAATTCAAATGCCAACCCCTGCGCATGTCCGCGATCATGAAGTCGATCGTGAACGACCGATCCCATGCTTTCAGTCCCTCTACCCGCATGGCAAACGTATCGAACAATTGCTCCAAATCAAGCGCCATCAACAGTTCAGCCGACATGGATAGCTGGGACCCCTGCGGTTTGTTTTGGGGTTGCAGCTCGCGCGCCCCCGTCAGGTAGAAGTTACGCCAGACGCCATTTTCCGCGCCGTAGCCCAGTTTGCGATAGACGGATGCGAGCTCGTTTCTGGCCCGGTCGTTGTTTTGGTCAGCATACACGGCGTGGTTGAGGAGCGTTGCGGCGAAACGAAGGTCGCCCTCGTCCGCGAACTCTTTGCCCAGGTCGATCACTTTCTCTATCCCGCCCATGCATTTCACGTAGCGTGTTGCGGATTCCACCGGGGGGTGTTCCCATAGGTGAGCCGGGTTTCCGTCGAACCAGCCCATGTAACGGTTATAGATGGCCTTGACATTGTGGCTGATTGAACCGTAGTAGCCGCGCGCGCTCCAGGTGTTGTTCAAAGATGGGGGGAGATGAAAGTGTTCGGCGATTTCTATGCCAGTTTGGCCCGTGTTGAGAAGACGGAGCGTTTCGTTATGCAGATAGGCGTATAGATCGCGCTGCTTGGTCAGGAAGTCATTGACGTTCACGTTGTCCCATGTAGGCCAGTGATGGCTGGAGAATACGACATCGGCGGCCTTCCCATAGCGAACGATCGCTTCATCGAGGTATTTAGCCCAGACACGGGCGTCGCGCACCAAGGCCCCTCTCAGGGTTTGGATGTTGTGAAGGGTGTGAGTGGCGTTTTCAGCCATGCACAGAGCGTTATACTGCGGGAAATACATGTTCATCTCAGCCGGCGCCTCCGTTCCTGGGGTTAGCTGACATTCAATTTCCAGATCGTCGTCTACGACGATCTTCTCCCCCGTCTGGTTGATGCTGGTCGTGGGGGGAATCAATCCCGATACACCCGTTGAAACAGTGAGACCCAGCCCGCAGCCGATTTGGCCGTCCCGCTGCCGTGCGAGAGACTCGCCGTACATGTAAACAGCACGACGGCCCATGGCGTTCCCTGAATAGACGTTCTCGCTCACTGCATGCTCCAGAAATCCATTCGGCGCGTACACCTTCAAACCCTCGGCAGCGGCGTCTGCAATGGCTTTAGCTCCGCCGAAGTGATCTACATGAGAATGCGTGTAGATGAGGGCTTTGATAACCCTATCCGGGAACTGGGTTTGGTACAGGCCCAAGGCCTTCTTGGCGGTTTCGATGCAGGTCAGTGGGTCAATAACGGCCACGCCTTTTGTGTTCGGACACTCGATGAAAGTGATGTTGGAGAGGTCTAGTCCGCGGACCTGGTAAATTCCATCCCGAACTTTGAAGAGACCCTGCTTTTGGCAGAGTTGAGACTGTCTCCACAGCGACAGGTTTGCGAACTGGGGAGCGTGCTCTTCTGCTAAGAAGCCGAAAGAGTCGTTATCCCAGATGGCTCGTGCTGGGTTGGTGTCGGAGTAGACCACGCAGGGCTCTAGACTGGTGATCAGTCCTCGAGAGGCATTTGCGATGTCGGTAGGGTCCTCAGGTGGGTAAGATGTTGAAGACATGATTACAAGCAGGTATCACTGGGACTGCAGAGTAGAATGATTGAAGGTTGAATAAGATCCGTTGTCAATTGTTGACGATATTAACTGACACACTGGCCATTCCTTATAGCCTAGACCCCTCTTCTACTTGTTCTCCTTGAAATTGGGATCCCTTTCAGAGCGCGCTCTTCGGTGAAATGGCAAAGGTAGGTCTAGGATACCCGACAATCAGCAAATACGCCTCAGAATCCTGCAAGAAAATTAAAAGACAATCTGGACCCTATATACCCCGCGCTCTAACAGTCAGGGAGTAGTCCGTCTAGCCAACCATTCTGTTCGCGAACCAAAGAATGGATCGAGTGGTTTAGTCAGGAGTGACGTAGGGTTGCATTCCGCCCCGACGGAACCAACGATGCTCGTAAGCAGTGACAGTTGTTTATATTTGGAATTAAGAAACAGGAACAACTTGAGAACTTATTCATAAAGTTTGTAGACTGTATGCGTTGTGGTTGTATCGTGTTGTGCCATTGGAATGGATGTTCACGCGGATTCTCCCCGAACCCTGCTCAATTTCGAAAGCATCCTACAGCAAAGCCAGAAATATCTTCCGGAGGATATTCTTGGTCAGGGATGAATACAATACTACTGTAAAGCACCGTGATTTACTATGGCCATGGTAGATAGTATACTATTACCCACGGGGTCCCACGGTTCTACTGCGTTCCTGGATAGGGGTATATTCATCTGGTCTATCAGACAAGGCTCGTTGACAGAAAATGATTCATTGCCCACTTACCCTCGAATCGACACTAAGTGACTCGCATATACCATTCTAAGTTCACAGTCAAGGGGTGCTTGCATATACCCTATTCCGCAAGCATCCAGTCCTCATAATCATCTTCCTCCTCATCCCCCACCTCAACATCTGGCATATTTACGCCCATACCGGTCAAATACTCAACAACATCTCGCCTCTCAGCACACTCCACCAGTACCGATGTATCCAGACTCCCAACATCAGCACCAAACTCGACAAGTAGCTTTACCGTCTCCAGACCCCCCTCGACAACAGCAATAGACAGCGGCGTCTCGAGACCGACATCAACCGCCGACACGTTTGCCCCATGTTCAAGAAGAGTCCTCGCCGTTTCAGTCTCATCTTCAATCCCTGCAGCAATATGCAACGCCGTCTGCCCGTTCTTTGATTTCGCCTCGATGTCCTCGCCCTGTTCGAGTAGTGCCTTGATAAAGACACGGCCACCCACAATATGGGCAGCAACATGGAGCGGTCCATAACCACGCGGGAAATACGGCCAGCGCTGCTCAGAGCTTTCAAGTTCGTCATAGCTGTCATCATCCTGGTACGGCCAGGCCCCTGCTGCCTGGAGGTAGGAGTCGATAGAGCCGCGGTGAGAGGCGAACCGTAGGAAGGCGCCAAGCTCTTCCTGTCGGTGAGGTACTCTGGACGTATAGACTGAAATGATTCTTGCAGCGTATGGCAGGAAAGGATGGGCTTGGAATCGCTGCTTTAGACTCGCTGACGAACTACAGGCTCCGCTCTGGAAATCTTCTTGTGATAGGTAGGACATGGCCGCGCGAAGCATCGTCCCTTTGGTGTTCTTTTTGGAAGCTTCTTCACGCAAATGATTCTGAAGAATAGAGGACTGGATTCGCATCGCTTTGATGCGAGTGCTGAAAGAGACCAAGCCAGCACACATGTTTGCGATGTCATCGGAGGTGTAGCGACTGTCTTCTGTTTTATGTATTCCGAGAAAAGGTAGGTAGTCCACAACTTGGGATACTGTCGGCGTATAGCCGAGTTCTTCTAGTGTGGACACTAGGTACAACACTTGAAGGACATTTTGTCCGTGTTCTGCTTTTGCTAAATGAGCCAATGCTAGCTGGCTAAGCTTCTTGTATTTTGTTGAAGGGGGATCATTAGATAGAACTTGAGCTAGTTCGTCCAATGCCTCTGACATATCTCTTTGCCGAGGTAGCGGTGGAAATCTTGCTTGGTATTAGCACCGTGGAGTCAAGATAGGGGCGAGAACACATACACGCCGTCCAACATTTCTATAACATTGAGCATACTTTCACGGACGTCTTTGGGTATTGCAGATGGGTTTTTCTCGGCAGATACATTGTCAATTTCGTGCACCATGAAAGACATGAGATCATCCTCGCTTGCCCTCGTTACTATGGTTGGCAATTCGTAGGCTCGGAGAAGTGAACGGGGTGGCGGGTAACGACTGGTTATGAGAATGTGCAAACGAGAACCCTGGGTATTATTGGCCCCAATATGGACGAGTATTTTCTTCAGTGCATCTTCAGAGGCATTAACACCATCAAAGACCACGAAGATAGAGCCAAAAAGCGAGTGAATCAGGTTCCAGAAACCAATCGGTTTACCGTCGTCGAGAGAGGGGGGAGAGCGCTCTTCTGCTCGATAGAAAGTTTCAGCAGCAGAGTCAGTCAGCTGAGCAGCGAGCTGTCTGGATAACGAAGGAAATGCAACACCAAAGTCCGCGACGTTATATTGCGGATGGTTGTCATCAAAATAGTATACCGCGACTCCTGAGCGGTTCTCCTCTGAGCGGATATGATCCACAACAAGGGAGCTGATGTATGTCTTTCCTGTTGCAGCTGGCTGGCTGTTAGCACTCTCATATCTGGCAGTATTGTGCCTTTCTTACCCGGTCCGTAAGCCCACAAAAGCTGTGGACCAGAGCCGTTGATCCATTCTTGCGTAAGTCTGTCTCCTAGAAACCAGGTTCCCAAGGTCCCTATTCGTTCGCAGCTCAAGCTGTTTTGCCTCTCTGCTGTTGCGTCCCCCGGGCAGAGCCAACTAACTGTATGGCTGTTATTAGTGAACAACATTGTTATGCATGATGTTGAGAAGCTTTGTACCCAGTTTACTCAAATACCAGACGCCGCTCCCCCCACTTTCTTGGCGTGATAGGCGCCAGTGTCGCTGCCTACATTTCCAAGGAAAGCAACTAAGAAAGAGACTAAACAGCTCTATTAAGAGCACAATGAAATGATCCACAACCAAGCAATGCCAAGGAACACTTAAACAACCAATTAGAACGCGGCTTGGCATAGATATCGCATTTCAAAACACCGTCACTTCATCCGCCCGCGAACCGGAAGGGCCGGCGTCCAAGGGAATCAATGCACAGAATGGCGGCCCCGGCAAAGGTACTCTCGACATTCGAGCTTCTCGAGCTGATCCTACTACAGCTCGACACGCAAACTCTTCTCACAGCTCAGCGAACATGCCGTACCTGGCACAGCATCATTCAAGAATCAGTTGCTATCCAAAAAGCGCTCTTTTTCATCCCAATCCAGCCTTCATCTGCGAGTACAAAAGTACAAAATCCCTTATTGGCAAAGCTGTTTCCGGGTTTCTTCACCTGGGACACATCCTTCTTGGCCAGCATCGATATGCTCCAGCGACCTGAGAAGCTGGAAGCGTATATTCGACCTGAAGCAAGTTGGCGGCGGATGCTCGTCCAGCAGCCGCCTATACCCAGGATTGGATTCCTTGTTTCCTGCTTTGCCTTTACGGAGAGTTATACCTACCATGAGATACCGGTACATATCTATTCCCCGGGTTCTCCTATGATACTCTCCTGATTAACCCGCGCGCAGACACGACCAGGCGGTCTGCGGATGGAAGAATATTTCGAAATGTTTATATTCGGGCACCATGTAATTTCGCTGGAGTACTATGTCCCGGAAATCATCTGGTGGGGTGATACCTATTCTTCTGGGTGGATTAAGATGAAAGAATCGAGGGGCATGACGGTGGAGACCGACATCGTGATTTCGATCTTTGGTGGCGCGACATGTACGGACTTTGAAGGCGATGGGATCACCGAAGATGCCGTATTATGCAGTCAGATTCAGGACGTATACCGGAAGCTGAATCTACAGCCTTGCGCACCGTCAGCCGAGACGAAGCTGAACGAGTGGGATTACTCGCACTGGCATGATTGACTTTTTTTTTTTCTAGGTTGATGTTGTCTTTCTCGGAAAGGAAGTGATATATTGCAGAATTCGGGTGGCGATTTTGAAATTTTACATGTCTGTATTTGTATTTAAGAAACTACTGCAAATGCTATGTAATTTATGTACTGTAGATATCTCTCTATGATAGAAAGTTGGCTCTCAAATATATGTATCATAGGCTGTCCTGTGTGAATGAATTTGGTACCGGGGGACCCGGGGATTCCGGAAGTAAATCTACAGAGTTGATGTCTGCCTGATTAGGTATTGACCTGCATAACTAATTCTGATCTGATGTGGTGGAAATAATTCCAGATTGATTTGCTACACTAACCTTAGCACCTGAGACACCCCGACTTTTATTTTATGTTGTCGCTTTACCGTAACTTCGCAATAAGTGGAATCAATCATCAAAAAGAACCGTCCTAATATTGAGAATCGACCAAATACACTAGGGAGCTTCTTACATGTAATATAGTTCATTTCCTTTCCTCGTGAAATATTGAGCTTGCGACGAGAATAAGAAGGACAACAAATCTTCCTGAGTCATAACCAAATTAGGCCCAACGGTGGCTGTTCACGGTGTGCAATCGTTGATCCTGGCCCTAAAGGCTGGATGATCCTTCAACGCTTTCGACACAAACTCGAGCGCCTTGCGATTTTGCCGGGCAGCTTTCACATATAGCTCTAAATCATTTCGAATCGAGGGGCCTGCGTGCTGCAGCAATAATGGGTCTATGTCGAGAGCGGGCACAGCATATAAGGGCTCATTCTTGTCGGAAAGGTCTAACTGTGGGAAAGAAGTTTGCTTCGGTGAATTTCATGGCCGCTGCTATCCACGCCGGGCTGGAAAACTTCTCCAGGTCATATTCAAAAGCAAACCAACAGGTGACATTCCTTTTCAGTGCCGCCAACAAGAACTCGGAATTGTCAAGGAATTTATCCGTAAGCCAGTTGATAACAGCTGGGTTAACCGCGAGGGCATCCAGAGCGAAGTCAGACATACTCAAGATGACATCCGCATAGAGTTTGCAACATTCCAGCTGAAATTCCGGTTGCTTCTTGAGAGTATCGGCTATTCGATCATAATTCACACTTGCAAGGCGTATATTTAAAGAGATAGCGATGAGCTGTCGTGCCCGTAAAACGTGGGGGTCAACCACAACAAGTTAGTCGGTGCTTTTGCACTACTGCAGGTGAGAAATTAGGGCAAGAAGATCGACTAATAGGGTTGCAGTGATAGTTAGAAGCATTGTCCACTTCTGAGTCATGATTATATCGTTGGGGCAGGTGCGCGATCTTGTGCATAGTCTTACACACGCAAGCTCTTTGAAACCAATTCCAGTGGTTGATTGCGGGACTTCCTTTTCCACAGTCTATGACCTCCTAAAATACAGCCTGTTCACAGTTATGTACATGTGTCTAGTAGATTAAGATACGAGTACCTCTATGCTCTATTGATGTACACCATTCTACCCATCGTCAGTCGCAGTCGTCTATTTTGCGATCTCGACACCTCCAACCTAGTTCAATGGTCAGTAACACTTTTTGCATGATTCATCGGGGTGACTTACAGCGCCCATGGCCTTCTTAAGGTCACCTACAAAAGACCAAGGGTTAGCAATCATCGATGAATGCTCGTCAAACGATGCAACCATTCGACACTTACCGTAGATAGCAAACTGTCCAGCAGTCAGAGCACCAACCATGACCAGACGAGCGCCAATACCGCTGAAAGAGCCACGGAGACCAAGCTCCTTAGCGATCTTGATCAGTCTGCTGGTCGTGCCCTCACCAGGGAGACCCTTGGTCTTGTTGATCTTGGAGAGCATGGTATCGGCGGGCTGCGAGACAATAGCGGCGGCGAAGCGGCAATCAGACCAGAACCAAGGTTGATGGCGGTCTGCATGCCGTCGCTGGTCTTCTCCTTGTCGAAGAAGTTGGCGTAGGCGAACTCGGCGACTTTCTCGTAGACGACGAACTTGGACATGGTGTATGGGACCCTGCCACATGTGAGTCATGAGAGAAATATCCAGCTTCATTGGACGCACTGCTTGAACAGGATGGGCCCAAAGCCGGAGTAGAAACCGGCGAGACCCTCCTGGCGGGCGATCTTGCCGAAGCCAGAGACAAGGCCACTGGCAAAGGTCGGCTCCGAGACCAAACGGATCCGGGTGGCCTCGAGCGGGCAGAGGGCAATATCGGCGAAGAACTCGGCAAAAGCGGACGAAACGCAGTACACGGCGATACGGTTGTCTCTGGCGTTCTCGTAGCCGATCGTGTTGATCGACTGCTGCTTGAAGAACTCGTAGCCACCGAACTTCAGTGCACCCTGCAGGAAGTAGCCTGCGAACGTAGGGCCAGCACCGGTGAGCAGGGCGCCGGCGCCTTCATTCTGGATGACCTGGCGGAAGCCACCGATCAGGCCGCGGTTGTAGGTGACAGGGTCGAGCTGGATACGGGTTTTGACGCTGCGCGAATGTACGTGTCAGTCACCCCGTTGCGACTTTTCCGTTGCTTGTCGAGCTGATGTCATTTTGATTCCTCGCAAGAATTGGCGCTACTTACACATCGACGGGGGTGAGGCCACCGTGGGTGACGGAACAGCAGACGGCGCCGGCGAAAGCGAAACGCGAGTAGAGGTTCAAGCCGGTCAGCTTCTGAGTCTCAGGTTTGGCCCCGACGGGGGCGGCTGTTGTCGCGCTCATCTTGCCGGTGTGATATGGAACGGAAGTTGAGGGATGGAGTGGAGAATAATACACCAGGATGAAGCAGAAGCTTGTTGGAGAAGAAGCTGAAGGACGTTGCGAAGTGATTTTTCACCCAGCAACGCCCGGGCATGACCGTCCCGAAATAGTCCGGGGCCTGCTGACGCCAAGTCAGCATTCATTTGGGGGTCTGATCGATGATGCGATGTGACAGCAATCATCTTGGGAGGTTTTAATTTAGCATGCTCCATAACCCTAACCCCATTGGGCAGAATTGGGGCTATCCGGCCCGTCGGCATCTCCCGGGTGGATCCTCGTTCATATACTATATAGCATATAGTATATACTACTGGATAGTTCTCCGTAGTCTCTACTATATCTAGTAGGATAGAAGGCTGAGGACATACTCCGGAGGCCAATCTCCCTTTTCAGAGTGACATTAAAATTCTTTCATAGCAAGATCCCTTATAGGAGAGGAAAATCCATTGCCTATCAGTAGTCATACACTCAATCACACACTGCAAGCAACCAAAACTACTTCCAAAGTCTCTCCAACAAAGCTCTATCTCTAACATTCATGCCTCTCCTCTGCGCAGTAGCAGCCGACTGAGACGGTGCACCTTCCTGGCTCAGAATCACCCACTCCGCCACCGTCGCGCCAGCATCCTTCTGCTCAGCACCCAGGGCCTGGTTGCCAGCAATCAACAAAGTGGCATACCGCGACGGCTTCACAGTGTCCTTAAGCTGCGCAGTAGTCGTATTCCCAACAGGGATGCGAATCTGGTTCTCCTCCTCCGCCGTGTAAATCGTCGAGGGCTCGATACCCGTCAAAGTAAGCACAACTCTAAACTTCTCATCGTCCTCATCTTGACCCTGGTCCTGGACGCCAAACGCGAACACGGAAGCAGGGTTCTCAATAGCCTCCTCATGGAAAATCACCGAGGCATTGACCGGCGGCGCAGAAGCCCAGTCGAAATGGAACCCGGACACGGCATTCGCCATCTGCGTATCTGACAGCGTAACGGTGATGGAAGAGAGATTCGAGGAAACAGGCTGCCATTTCGTCGACGTTGCGCCATCGTTAGCGGAGATGGGGAATTGGCCTGCCTTGTACTCGTCCGGAGACGTGATGGGCTGGCATTGGATTTGGTTGCCCTGCAT